TGAGATGGAGTCTCGCCCTGTCACCCAGGCTGGAGTGCAGTGGCGCAATCTTGGCTCACTATAACCTTGACCTCCCGTGTTCAAGCTATTCTCCTGCCTCAGCCTCCCAAGTAGCTGGGATTACAGGCATGCACCACCACACCCAGCTAATTTTTTGTATCTTTAGTAGAGATGGGGTTTCACCATGTTGGCCAGGCTGGTCTCAAACTCCTGACCTTGTGATCCGCACACCTCGGCCTCCCAAAGTGCTGGGATTACAGGTGTGAGCCACTGCGCCTGGCCTGTTTCTTGCTTCTCAAAAACTGTCATTGGTGACCTGGCATGGTGGCTCACACCTGTCGTCCCAGCACTTTGGGAGGCCAAAGAAGGAAGATCGCTTGAGGCCAGGAGTTCAAGACCTGCTTGAGCAATATAGCGATACCCCGTCTCTACAAAAAGTTTTAAAAAAAAATTAGCTGGGCATGGTGGCATGCGCTTGTAGTCCCAACAACTTGGGAGGCTGAGGCAGGAGGATAGCTTGACCCCAGGAGTTCAAGGCTGCAGTGAGCTGTGATTGTGCCACTGCACTCCAGCCTGGGCAGCAGAGTGAGATCATGTCTCTTAAAAAAAGAAAAACAAGAACAACAGCAAAAACCAACCGTCGGTTTCCTATGGCCTACCAAATAAGAGTCCAATCCTGCCTGACCCATGGGGCCTTCATAGCTTGGCTTCAGCCTGCCCTTCCCTTTCTACGGATTTTCTCCAGTCCTTGAATGGATTATGTTCTTTGACATTCAATCTCTCAATTACTCAGGACAAAAATTCTTTTAGAATCACCTTCACTTCTTTGACTCCCTTATACCAGAGAATCTCACTTCTCACCACTTCCAGTGCCACTGTCCCAGCCACCTGCATGATTGCCACAGCCTCCTAGCTGCCTTCCTGGTTCTATCCTGCCTCCACTGCTATCTGTCCTCCACACAGCAGCCAGATGATGTCAGTCTTCTGCTAAACACCCTCCAAAAGCTCCCACCTCACTCTGTAACTACTAAAGTCCTTCCACGGGCCTGAGAGCTTCAGGTAACCTGGTCACATCGCTCTGACCTCGTCACTTCTCTCTTTCTAATTTCACTGAAGTTTCACTACTGGCATCCTTTCTGTTCCTCAGTCCTCCTGTGCATATGCCTATCTCAGATATGTGTATTTGCTCTTTCCTCTCTCTAGAATGCTTTTCCCTCAGGTCTCTGTCAAATGTCATTTTATCAGGGAGACCCTTCCTAATCACTCTACCTAACATAGTGCACCTATGTTAGCTGCACTATGGTCAGCAGAGTGAGATCACACTCTACTCCCTCTCTGCCGTTTCACCTCCTTCAAGGCACATGGCACCCCGAGGTGCGCGTGTGTGTTTGTTCATTCCTCCTACCGGAATGTGAGCTGCACAAGAGTGGGGCTTGTTTTGTTCACTGCTGTGTTCCTATCACCTATGACCACACCATCCTTTGAGGTCTTGTTCTGTCCATTTACCCTATTGCCTGGTTTCCTTTTCTTTCTCTGTTGGATAATTTCTTGTCAGTAAGCATTTTCAATGTTTTCTCCTCATTGAAAACACACACAGCCCTCACTCAAGTCCTATCTTCAGATTCCCCAGGTATTCGTTTCTCTCCTTCCTTTCAAGTTTCTGGACAGAGTAATGTGCGCTTCCTGCCTTCCCTCCTCTCTGGCTCCTCCCTTGGTCCTCCGTCACAAGATTTCCATCCCCAGTGTGCCAGCAAAACTGCTCTGATAGAGGGCTCTAATTGTGAGAAACAAGGAGGCATAGTTTTGCTTTTTTTCTTTTCTCGAGTATTGTACTGTACGGTTATTCCTTTTTTCCCTGTTGTAATTGCCATTTCAGCGTCTCTGAAGTCTTCCTGCTCTTATTTCCTCATCCTTATCGGTTGTCTTTGCTGATTCCCAGGTGGTTGGGACAGTGGCACTGGAAGTGGTGAAGTGAGATTCCCTGGTATAAGGGAGTCAAAGAAGTGAAGGTGATTCTAAAAGGATGTTTGTCCTAAGTAATTGAGAGATTCAGTATCAAAGAACGCAATCCATTCAAGGACTGGAGAAAATCTGTAGAAAGGGAAGGGCAGCGATGAAACAGAAAGGCAGGCTGGAGCCAAGCTGTGAAGGCCACGTGGGTCAGGCAGGATTGGACTCTTACTTGGAAGGCCATGGGAAACTGAGGGTTGTTTTTTGTTGTTGTTGTTGTTCTTTTCTTTTCTTTTTTTTTTGAGACGGGGTCTCCCTCTGTTGCCCAGGCTGGAGTGCACTGGCAAGATCTCGGCTCACTGCAAGCTCCGCCTCCCGGGTTCACGCTATTCTCCTGCCTTAGCCTCCTGAGTAGCTGGGACTACAGGTGCCCGCCACCGCACCCGGCTAATTTTTTGTATTTTTTTTTAGTAGAGACGCGGTTTCACCGTGGTCTCGATCTCCTGACCTTGTGATCCGCCCGGCTCGGCCTCCCAAAGTGCTGGAATTACAGGCTTGAGCCACCGTGCCCGGCCTTGTTTTTCTTTTTTTTAAGAGACATGATCTCACTCTGCTGCCCAGGCTGGAGTGCAGTGGTACAATCACAGCTCACTGCAGCCTTGAACTCCTGGGGTCAAGCTATCCTTCTGCCTCAGCCTCCTGAGTTGCTGGGACTATAAGTGCATGCCACCATGCCCAGTTGATTTTTAAAAAATTTTTTGTAGAGACGAGGTATTGCTATATTGCTCAAGTGGATCTTGAACTCCTGGCCTCAAATGATCTTCCCTCTTTGGCCTCCCAAAGTGCTGGGATGACAGGTGTGAGCCACCATGCACATGCCACTACCACCCAGCTAAGTTTTGTATTTTTAGTAGAGATGGGGTTTCGCCATGTTAAAAGCATCTATCCCATGCTTTTAACTACTGTTGCTACACTGACAACTCCCAATCTGTCATTTGCCTAGATTTTTTCCTGGGCTCCAGGCCTGTATTTCCATCTGTTTTCCTGGACGTGTCCTACTTGTATCCCGTGCCACATGTGCAAAATCCTGCACAGTATTAACCTCCTCCCCGAGATGACACAGCAGAACAATAAGCAGTTGCTTCCCCACAGCCTCCCACCTTGGTTAGTGAGCCACCTGGTCATTTTAGGCAACACTTGGGAGTCATTCTCAACCACTTCCTCTCCCTTAACACAGCCAGATCCGAATGGGCACCAGCTTCTCTCTCACATAGCTCTTGTGAACCCATTCCCTTGTCTCAGTTCTCACTGCCCCACCATAGTTTAGTCAGGGTGTCCAAACTTTTGGTTTCCCTGGGCCACATTGGAAGAAGAAGGAATTGTCTTGGGACACACATAAAATACACTAACACTAATGATAGCTGATGAGCTAAAAAAAAAAAATCACACAAAAAAACTTATAATGTTTTAAGAAAGTTTACGAACTTCTTTTGGGCCGTATTCAAAGCCGTCCTAGGCCACGGGTTGGACAAGCTTGGTTTAGGTCTTTATCATCCCCTCCTCACCCCCTTTATTTTACAGATGGGATCTTGCTCTGTCGCCCAGGCTGGAGTGCAGTGGTGCAATCATGGCTTAATGGAGGCTTAAACTCTTGGGCTCAAGCAGTCCTCTTGCTTCAGCCTCCTGGTAGCTAGGACTGTAGGCACATGCCACCATGGGTGGGTAATTTTTAAAAATGTTTTGTAGAGACACAGTCTCACTATATTGTCTAGGCTGGTCTCAGACCCCTGCCCCAAGCAATCCTTGCACCTCAGCTTCCTAAAGTTCTGGGATTACAGGTGTGAGCCACCATGCCTGTCCCCATTTCCCCCTTTATAGTACAGTCCTTAGGAATATGGACTCTGAAGCCAGACTGCATACATTCTAATTTTGTTTTTCTTTTTTGTTTTGTTTTGAGGTGGAGTCTCACTCTGTCACGCAGGCTGAAGTGTGGTGGGACAGTCTCGGCTCACTGCAACCTCTACCTCCTGGATTCAAGCAATCCTCCCAGGCAACTGGGATTACAAGCATGTGCCACCACGCCCAGCTAATTTTTGTATTTTAGTAGAGACGGGGTTTCACCATGTTGGCCAGGCTGGTCTCGGACTCCTGACCTCAAGTGATCTGCCTGCCTCAGCCTCCCAAAGTGCTGGGATCACAGGCGTGAGCCACTGCACCTGGCCTCTTCTAATTTTGGATTTGCTACTTAGTTTTTGTCACTTAGTTTTGTGAATTTGGTCAAGTTTTGTAGCTTCTCTGTGCCTTGGCTTCTGTATTGGTAAATAGGGATAATAATTGGTTATAAGGATTAAATGATTTAACAGATAAAAAGTGCTTAGAACAGTGCCTGATACATCATGGTGATGTTGACTGTTGAAATAGCCACCTAGCTGACTGACCTCTGTAGCTGTTCCTCTTCTAAAGCCTTTCCCACTCTGCTATTGAGTCAGCTTTCAAAAATGGACATCAGACCACATTATTCCCTTTTGAAAGTCTTTCTGTGGCTTCCCTAATCTGACCACTACTTATAGACTTAGCTCATCTCCATTGTCCCTTTTCTCTCACTCTCTGTCATAGCTGTACTGTAAATAGTTGACAGTTTTTTGAATATGCTGTGATTTTGCATGCCTTGGCATCTTTGCACATGCTATTTATTCTTCTACTTGAAGTGCCCCTTCTTCCCTGGTGTTATTTGCAAATCTTTTAATGATCGTTCCAGACTATGTCTAAACCTCCTGTGGAAACCTGGCCCTCTCCATGTAGAGCTGATCACTCCCTTCACATTCACCGTAATATATTGCCATCATTTATTTCTACTATCTGTTAAGCAAACAAGACTGAGCTTTAGCTCCCCGATGGTGGGAGATGAGTCTCTTCTTCTTCCTCTTGTGATGCAGGGCTTTGTATAGTGATGAGCACAGAGCAGAGGCTCCATAAACATTGTTGAATTAGTAATCGCATGTTCGGAAGTTTACTAAGATTTCTGCACTACTTTTCTCCAATTTCTCCAGGCTGCAAGAATTAGTTGATCGAGTGCTGGAACGTTTTCAGGCATCTGGACTAATAGTGAAAGAGTGGAATAGTGTGAAACTGCATGCTACAGTTATGAATACACTATTCAGGAAAGACCCCAATGGTAAGTCCCCCAGAGAACTGTAGCACAGTTTGTGATCAGTGGCCTTGTGGCATCTCTGAGGTTTACACAGAATGGGCTATCAAAGAATCTCTGATATACTTCTTTTTAGACCTCTTAGCTTATTCTGATGAGCATAGTAGAGGTGGGCAAGAACATATATAGCATGGGACTGTGGCTTCCAGATCTTTTATTTCTGTCACACATAGGATTGCCCATACTTAGCAAATAAAAATATAGGACGCTTCAGTAAATTTTATATAAACAGTGAATAAGTTTTTGGCATAAGTATGTCGCATGTAATACTTGGTGGCTATTTTTTTTTTTTCAAAGAGAGAAAGGAAGGTGAGCTAGTAAAAGTAAATGTTAAGTCAGTGTTTCTCAACTGGGGGTGATTTTGCCCCCAGCTAACATTTGGCATTGTCTGGAGACATTTTTGGTTATCATAGTTAGGGATTTGGAGATGGGTTGCTGCTGGCACCTAGTGGGTGCCGTTTAACACTCTACAATGCGTGGGATGGTCGCCCACGACAAAGAATTATTCTTCCCAAAATGTCATAGCACAGAGGTTGAGAAACCTTGTGTTAAAATAATAATGTTTTTCTTCATGGACTCTGAGCCTTTTTATAAAAATGCCTTGTTTTAATTCTTGATTTGGGATAGGTGTTTATTTCAAAAAGAAGTTTTCTTTTCTTCCTGTCCATATCTCCAAAGTGAAAGCTTCTCTAGTACCTTCAGCATCTGATCAGGAGTCACACATTCAAGCCATATGAAACTCTTCCTTCCAAGATTCGTGGTTCAAAATACACTAGCACCAAGATCACATATTCTGGTTTCATTTCCTTTCTTGGGCCCGACCTTGGTTTTAGAAAATCTAGGTGGGGTCCAGGCACGGTGGATCACGCCTGTAATCCCAGCACTTTGGAAGGCTGAGGTGGGTGGATCACTTGAGTTCAGGAGTTCAAAACCAGCCTGGCCAACAAGATGAAACCCCGTCTCTACTAAAAATACAAAAATTAGCTGGGTGTGGTGACACATGCCTGTAATCCCAGCTACTCAGGAGGCTGAGGCAGGGGAATTGCATGAACCCAGGAGGCAGAGGTTGCAGTGAGCCAAGATCGGGCCACTGCACTCCAGCCTGGCGACAGAGCAAGACTCTTTCTCAAAAAAAAAAAAAGAAAAAAATCTAGAGGAGAAGAGAACTCCATCAGGACTTGAACCATTGACTATTTGTAGGTTTTTAGTTAGGACAATTTGTGTGTCCCTTTTAGTTAAGGTACGTCTTTTAATTTCTCTCAGATATGTACCAAAGATCCCAACTGGAAATCATTTGATATTAACCCAGTTTGGTTAGAGCCATGGTAGGACCAAGAAATATATAGCTATCTAGTTATTAGTTCTAAAATGTTACTATTTTGTGATATCATATTGAATTTTATTTAAGACTTATGAATAAATCTCTATTTTACTTTTGAGAACACTGAGATTAAAAGAGCTTCAAGTAACTCAGTCAAAGCCTATATATTCTTGTTTGGGTAGGTGATAGAATAATCCAAAACTTTGAACTTGTTCCAGTTGAGTGTGTGTGTGTATGTATATGTGTGTGTGTGTGTATATATATATATAAAATATATATATATATAAAATATATATATATAATACATATATATACTTTTTTTTTTTTTGAGATGGAATCTCGCTGTGTCGCCCAGGCTGAAGTGTACAGTGGCGCGATCTCGGCTCACTGCAACCTCTGCCCCCTGGGTTCAAGCAGTTCTTCTGCCTCAGCCTCCTGAGTAGCTGGGATTACAGGCGCCTGCCACCGCGCCCAGCTAAGTTTTGTATTTTTAGTAGAGACAGGGTTTCACCATCTTGGCCAGGCTGGTCTTGAACTCCTGACCTCGTGATCCACCTGCCTTGGCCTCTCAAAGTGGTGGGATTACAAGCATGAGCCACTGTGCCCGGCCAAGTTGAGCATATTTCTTTCCTTCGGGGAGTAGTACTACAGAAAGTAGGAATATTTTAGATATCTATGTATTATAATGTAGCTTGTCCAGTAGAAACATATAACTAGGTTTGTGCTGTTTGTTTTATTCTGGACAGTATATTTTAATTTTGGAAAACAAATTGAGAATCCCCTGAGGTGATGTGCATTTTAACATTACTATGTAATGGCAGAGTTTCAGAACTCTGGAGTATACCCTAAATTTATTGTTTCAGAAGACATATGGTATTAAGAAAACTGTCTGTGATGATTGAAGTATTCTGTATCTGTAATGTCCAATATGGTAGCCACTAGACACATGTGGTTACTGAGCACTTGAAAGGTGGCTAGTGAGACTGTGAAAGTGAACTTTTATTTTTAATTTTAATTAAAATTTATAGAGCCACATCTGGATAAGGGCCTCTGTTTTGGGTGTTGCAGGTATAGACAGTATTTTATTAGACATTTGTTAGCTATCAGTACATTTTCCATTTGTCTTAGTCTTTAAATATTTGTTCAGAGCTCTTAAAACTACATCATGGTCCATTATTAACTAATCTCTTAACACAGAAAGAGTTCATATATGTAGGAATCTGTATATTCTAAGTTGTGTGGATCCAGGTTTATATTCAGTTAGCACTAGAGCTTTATATAAGAGAGTGTTGTGTGTTCACAGTCTAGTTATCCCTCTGTTTGCAGATTTTCAAAATATAATCGCTTTATTGAGATATAATTCACATACTATACAATTTACTCTCTTGAGTATAGATATGTATATAATATACTATATATATTTATAGCATATATAATATAATATATAACTTATTACGTATATACTATGAAATATAATGATTTATATTTATTATCTAAATTTAGTGGTTTTTAGTCTGGTTAAAGTTGTATAGCCATCACCACAATCAGTTCTAGAACATTTTCATTACCCTAAAATGAAACCCCATACCCATTGGCAGTCACTTTCCATTTCTTCCTACCCCTCTTACTCTGCCCTCCCCTGACCTCCACCAAGCCTTAGGCACCACCTGCCTACTTTATGTCTCTATAGAGCTGTCTGTTTTGGACATTTCATATAAACAGAATCATGCAGTATGTGATCTTTTGAGGCTGGCTGCTTTCACGTAGCATAATATTTTCAAGGCTCATCCATGTTATAATATAGCAGTACTTCATTCCTTTTTTGTTTTCTGTGTGGGTTTTTTTTTTTTTTTTTGAGACAAGGTCTCTGTTGCCCAGGCTGGAGTGTAGTAGAGTGATCTTGGCTCTCTGCAACCTCCACCTCTCACACTCAAATGATTCTCCCACCTCAGCCTCCAGAGTAGTTGCGACTACAGGCTCATGCCACTACACCCAGCTAATTTTTAAACTTTTTCTTCTTTTTTTCCCAAGATGGAGTTTCACTCTTGTTGCCCAGGCTGGAGTACGATGGGGCAATCTTGGCTCACTGCAACCTCTGCCTCCCCAGGTTCAGGCGATTCTCTTGCCTCGGCCTCCCGAGTAGCTGGGATTACAGGCGTGCGCCACCATGCCCGGCTAATTTTTGCATTTTTAGTAGAGACGGGGTTTCACCATGTTGATCAGGCTGGTCTCCAACTGCTGACCTAAGGTGATCCGCCCGCCTCAGCCTTCCAAAGTGCTGGGATTACAGGCGTGATCCACCACACCTGGCCTAACCTTTTTTTTTTTTTGTAGTGACAAGGTCTCACTATATTGCTCAGGTTGGTTCCAAACTCCTGGGATCAAATGATCCTTCTACCTCAGCCTCCCAAAGTGTTGGGATTACAGACGTGAGCCACCATGCCTGGTGCTTCATTTTTTTATGGCCGAATAATATTCCATTGTATGGATATGCCACATTTTATGTATCCATTCATCAATTGTTGAACATTTATGTTGTTTCCACTTTTGATATTTATTTAGTATTAATGTATTTGTTGTTCTTTTGCAACTTCACACATTCCCTTTCTCCTAATTTTAAGTTGTGAAACATGCATGGCATTGGGATCTTTGATTAAGAGCATTCTTCTCTTTAGAGAAATAGTTCCATAGTTACGCATGTGCAACTCCAGTGGGCTAGCTGAAATGTATTATGTATTCTGTTCATGGAGTTTTTAAAACTCTAGATATATTTGATCAATTCTGGCCTAGTACTTTCCTTACTTATATAAGTAAAATAATGTACTTAAAGGTGGAAATAAGTATTTTTGAAGGTCTGTCAGTGGGTAGGAAATGATTAATATTTCAGAAAATATTCTGAGTTAATTCTTGAGGATGCTTTGAATTTTTTGTGCTCTGGACTCTCCTGTATTGAATTTTTACTTGAAAAGGACATGAAATGATGTTACATTTTTTTTCTTTCCTGTTTCCCTCTCCTTTGATATTCTTTTTGTTGCCAACCTTTAAGGATGTCTTTTGAGATATGCAACCCAAATTAACTCAAGAAGCTAGAGCACAGCTTGGTTTAGGCTAAGGTCATAGATTTGCTGCATTTCTGTGTAGAATGTCTGTCAGGATACCTTTGATTGCAACTAAAGGGCTCTTTTTCCTTTGGGGGAAGTCCTTAAATCAACCCAGAGCATGAGTGCCAGCAGTTTTGACTAGCTAATGTGTGAACCCTTATGTGTTTTTACATATTTAAAATTATATGCCACTTTTCTTGGATCTATAGAACGTAAGGAACCTTTGAAGATCACTTAGTCCTACCTCTCACTTTGTCAGTGAGGAACTAAGGTCCACAATGGAGATGTAATTTGCCTAATAATGTAGCTAGTTGCATAGTTAGGAATATATAGTGAGTGCCTGGAGAATGTCAAATGAATAGATTAATGAATAAATGTATATTGAATGAATCATTGACAGAACTGAGACTAGAAGCCAGGTCTCTTGATTCATGGCCTGACATTTTTCCTCTGCATTATGCCACTTTCCAGGTAGTACGTGAAAATTTTGCTAGTTGTACCTATGTACCTATAGAAGTCGAAGAGAAAACAACCAACCAATCTGAGCTTCTAACATTATCTTTGGAATATTTACAGCTGAAGGCAGGTACAATCTCTACACAGCGGATGGCAAATATATCTTCAAGGAAAGAGAATCATTTGATGGCCGAAATATTTTAAAGGTCAGTATGAAGCAGAGTGAATTGGAAATCCTTTGGCACATGTCCTAAATAAAGGAGGAAAAGGAATAGTTCTCCTTTTAACAATAGAGTATATTTTTTCATACTACTTCATACTTTTTCTCATACTTGTTTTTTTTAATTATCTAAAGGGAAAGAGAGGAAAAGTAGATGGTCCCCTTAAGGTTTTGGCACTTCTAGAGTATTTGAAATTGGTGGTTTGTTTGTTTATTTATCTGAGACTGTCTCGCTCTGTTGCTAAGGCTGGAGTGCAGTGGTGCAAACACGGCTCACTGGAGCCTTGACCTCCTGAGCTCAAGTGATCCTACCACCTCTGTCTCTCAAAGTGCTGGAATTACAGGTGTGAGCCTCTGCACCCTGCCTGAAATTAGTGATATAAGAAACACTTAGCAAAAAAAAAAAAAAAAAAAATCCTTAGGTATGCTTGGATTCATAGAAATAAGTTGATTTCAACCGAAGTTTTACTCTGTACTTACCTCTAGAGGTTTGAGCTTGTATTTTTTAAAGTGGAAAATAATTATTTGTCTTGTTTGGTAGATTTTTCTCTTTACCCACAAAGTCAATCTCTGTACTGGCTTTATAATCCATTTTTACTTAGAAACAGCCTATGTCTTAAAAAGTAGATGGTCCATTTTTGACTGTGGAAGCTTTGCCTTTCTGAGTGTTGAATTAATCTATGAAATGAAAGTAAAGGGGTTCTTCAAAATTACATTTATCTTTCTCCAACAGACTACCCTTCTGTAATTTTCGTGATTTATGCCTTCTCTATCAGGTTAACATGCCATTGTTCCTCTGGACAAAGAGAAACATAAGTTGATACTAATGGAGAGGTTTTCAATTCTTCTTTTCACTTGCTCTGTAAGGGTTTAGGTCATTTTCAAGGCTTTGGGTGTTTTGCTGAGATGGAGGAGGGAGTATATAATAACATCAGAATAAGCTTTAGCTTTAGAAATGCTTTTACTTTTTCTTCCCTATCTCACCCTCCATTCCCTTATCTTGTCGCTTTACAGTTTTTTTTGCCAAATGCCTAATGTGGCCCCATTGCCTTAATTAATGACATCACTCTTCAACAGCTGTGACTGCTTACCATGGAGCCCAATAGGGCAGTGCCAGCCATCGACTCAGACAGGCATTCCCGCACCCGCATTGCAGAGCTATGCCGAGTCCTTCCTTTCCTTGATATATTTTCTCTTTTTGAGTAGTTTTCTTGTTTTTGAGGTAGCTCTGGGTTTGAGTGGCAGGCTGCTAATGAATTCAGTTGTAGTTAACTTGACTGTTTTTTCCAGGCTACAGCTTCGGTGTGATATGAATCTTTCTCCTCCTTTATCTCCCTTCTTTGGGGATTTTCCAGTATCACAATGAATTACTTTGCTTTTTGTTATTGTTAATTTGGTTAAGAAAGAAAATAGACTGAATGGGGAAAGAAAATAGACTGAATGGGGAAAGAAATCTGTAGGAATGGCTCAAAGCCAACTGGGTTTTCTGGAGTTAAAACTGAAGCCTTGTGTGTCGGTACAAGTCAGGTGTGAGGTGCTTTGACATCTGTAAGAGTGGGGTGATGGCAGAGAGCCTGTTGGGTGGCCGTATGAGCAGTGTGGAGCTCTTACCTTGGTATAGAATTTCTCTCATTCTGGGAAGTAAGTTTTCCATTTAACTATGCTTTTTCCTGAAATCTTCTGAACCACGCCAGTGATGATATGAACGTAGCTCCCTCTAGTGTTGACAAGGACTTGCTATATCAGTAATACCCTTATTAATTCAAGCCAAATCACTTTTAGACCTGGACCTAGCTAGGTTCTTGGAGACCATTTAGTCCAATTCCCCACTTTAATCTCTGACACAAAATCTACTAAGATAGGGCTGGGCGCGGTGGCCCACGCTTGTAATCCCAGCACTTTGGGAGGCCAAGGTGGGTGGATCACAAGGTCAGGAGTTCAAGACCAGCCTGGCCAACACAGTGAAACCTCATCTCTACTAAGAATACAAAAATTAGCCGGGCATGGTGGTGGGCACCTGTAATCCCAGCTACTCAGGAGGCTGAGGCAGGGGAATTGCATGAATCCGGGAGGCAGAGGTTGCAGTGAGCCAAGATCGGGCCACTGCACTCCAGCCTGGGCAACAGAGCTAGACTCCACCTCAAAAAAAAAAAAAAAATCTACTAAGGTAAAGTGACTTGCCAGAGGTACTGCTAGTTAGTAGCAGAGTCTGAATCAGAACAGAAAGACTCAAAACTCACAAATTGAGCATTGTGTTCTGCTGCCTCCCATAAAGATGCGCAGTGTTTAGGTAGAGAACATTAGGTATTTGAAGTTGGGTCTATCTGCCTGAACTGGGATAATGGCCAATTAAAGTTTGTTTCATAAATGGTGGGGCAGTGAGTGTGCCAATTAGTCTAAAACCGTAGCTAGTTAATAATTAGATTCTTGTATTGAACATGATGTCAACACTAACCGAAATACGTACTGACTGTATACCATCTGCCAGACTATGTGCCCTAAAGATGAAACAGTCTTTGTGATACAATGCCTGCCTTCTAGGAGCTTCCAGTCCTTGAGGGGTACAGCTAGTTAATAGACAATTAGAATGTAGAAACCATGGAGTGAGTTATGGACAAGTGCCTTTGACCACAGATAGTTATGATGACATATCCTTTAGTATAGTATCTAATATTTACTCTTTAATCACTAGTTCCAGAAAAATAATCTTTCACCTGTGTTCAATCAAGAGAATTAACTACTTTTTAAAATAAAAGTAAATTGTGGGCTCCAACAGTTAACTCCCACCCCCAACACAGAGGCAATTAAGTGTTTGTGAAGTAGCCGTAGTCCACTCATCTTTTGGCATTACCATGAATGGACATGTCTTTCTCAATTAAAACATGAGACTCTATGGCCCTGCCCTTAAAATAAAAACAGGATTTAGAAAACCAGTGGACTTCATATATATATATATATATATATATATATATATATGTGTATAGTTTTTGTACAATATGAAATTATTATGTTTAGAAAGAAAAAAATCAATTTCACTAACAAGATAGGAACTGACTTGGAGTAAACAGAAAGGTTAACTGCATTGGTTGTTAAGGAGCCCAGGCATACGTGTACAGCATATTAACAGCTACATAGGCCAAGGATCAGGAATGCTGGTGATGGGAGGCAGCCGTAGAAAAAAAATCAACTTCATCTACTATTCAAAGAGAAACAAAACAAGAAAGAAAGTCATTGCTCATTGCTGTAAGAATTTAATGAGTAACAGCCAATTGCTATTCTACTCTATGAAGAAAATTGGTTCTTTTGGCTTGGTATAATATGTGTTCTGGGTGCCTTAATAAGAAAAAAAGAAATCTTTAATGACTAATGCAGATGGAAGCCACATTTTTCTTTCGTACAGCTTTTTTGAGAGTTGTTGCAGCTGTAATATACTAGTGTCTGGTTATTCCTAGTTAAAATAAGAAAGTCTTTCCCTAAGAAAGACTTTGAATTAAGAATTGACAACTAGAATCATTCTCCTGTGTTATTCAAACCTGAAAAGGAACAAACATATTTGGTTATGGTGTTTTTTTATGGAAAAGTGCCAGATAGCTCCAAAAGGAGGATGCATGAGTGAGGAAGACTTAGGCCAAATTAATGGGATGGTGCCCCCTCAGAGAGTATCCATTTCTAATCTAAGAGATAGCAAAAAAAAAAAAGGTGCTGTTTGTATAGCCTTAGGCAGTGATAAATTTATAATTGGAGAAATCATACTGACCTAAAGACATACTGCCTGGAAGTAACTGCTCCCTCACTAGCTAGAAGTAAAATGGTCATTAACTGCCAGCTTCTAGGGAGAGAGGTAATGACAGTCTGTTTGGGGTCTTAAGCAATAGAATCAGTGTTCCAGGATTGTGCTGTCAGCAGATTGAACCAGGGGTTCAAAAGCATAGCTTCTGACTGCAGAGTGAAGAGGAGGCATTAGAGCCCTAGATTGTACTCATCAGAGAAGGTGGTATGGTACAAATAAAGGCACAGTGATATATTTGGGAAAGAATGGAAAGTACTATAGGTCTAAAGTCAGAGGATAGTGTAAAAGTGCATTATCTTTAGACACTTAAAAATCCTGGAAAATATAAGCCATGTAAAAGGGAAATGAATTTGTACCTTTTCTATTTTATATATAAGAATCTTTAAATTTAGAGAAAGAAGAGACTGGCAGTATTATTAAACTGACTGTATTAATTTTAAATACGTTCCCCTGAAAATGTTTTAAATCTCTAGCCTCACTGAGACTTTTCTTGAAAGATGTGACTGAGTCACCCACGTATTTCATTCAGTTTTGGTTTTGTCCCATCTCTGTTCTTTAGAGCCTTTAAAAGGACAATTAGAATGAATAAATTTAAATGAGATCTTTATTTAGTTTGCTTTACTTAGAGACATTTTTATGAAGGAAGCTTTTAAAAATACTGTTTATTCTTTTTTGCTGAAATATATATATATATGTACATGAGACATACATTTACTGTTGAACAAGTAGTCATAAAATGAACAGTGTTGACTACTACCAAGGTCAAAGAGTAGAGTCTGCCTCCCATGCCCCTCCCGGGAGACTCTTTAGTCAGTCTGTCCTAAGGGAACAAAAGCACAATTAACTTCTTAAACACTCTCAGGGGAGAGGCTTGTTTTGAATGAATATTTTGTTTTGAAGTATTAGAAGAGTGTTGAAAAGATAAATTCAATTTTTTTTTTTTTCTAGAGGACAGAGAAGAGATGTGAGATTTAGAACTACGTGGTCACTTTTTAAAAAATTTCATGAACTTTATTTTTTTAGGTTCACAGCAAAATTGAGCAGAAAGTATACAATGTTCCCAAATGCCCCCATCGCTGCACACGCACAGCCTCCCCCACTTTTGGCATCTGACACCAGATTCGTGCATCTTTAAAATCGCCCGTCTGGCTCCCCAACAGTGCCTGGGGATTACAGGCTTTTTGCGTATTTTTAGT